CGACGGTGGGGATGATGTTGAGTGAAGCTTTTGCTGCAACCCTTATACTTAGTTTTTTTTTTGTTCTTTTGTTGTTTACTTTCATCTTTTCTTGGGGGCCCGTTTTGGCCTTTTGTAGGGTGCGGCTGTCGCGCACGTATATTTGAATAAAATAGTTGTTTTGCCTCCATTTGTGTATCTTTCCATTTTCATTGTGATGAGTCCCTAACCCTTTTAGTTGTGAATCCGAACTTGCGAGTTTGGGCGAGGTTGACTTCTACTTTGCCAACTCAGGCGGAACCAACCTTAATTCGGACGAGGTCGAATTCAAATTTGCCATCTTGGGCGAAGTCAGTTTTGACTTGTATACTTGAGCGGGATTGAATTCTGACTTACCAATTTAGGCAAAGTCAATTTTCCATATGTATTCGAGCGAGGTCAAAATTGGAGTTGCCAACTTGGGCGGAAGTTTGACTTATACGCTCGTGCGTGGTCAAAATTGGAGTCGCCATCTTGGGTAGAGTCAATTTCTGACATATATTCGAACGAGGTCGAGATTCAATCTGTTGATTCAGGTGGGTCGACTTTCACTTTTACCCGGCGGTGGCCGATGGCCGTAAGGGTGTTAATTCGAGCGAAGTCGAAATAGTAACTAGTTGTTAATTCGAGCTAGGCCGAACATTCCTTTCATATGGCGATGGCTGATGACCGTAGGGGTGTTATTTTGAGCTAGGTCAAAATTATTACCCGTTGTGAATTCGAGCAAGATCGAACCTTCCTTTCATATGGCGATGGCCGATGGTCGTTAGGGTGTTATTTTGAGCTAGGTCGAAATTATAACCCGTTGTGAATTTGAGCGAGATCGAACCTTCCTTTCATATGGCGATGGCCGATGGCCGTTAGGGTGGTATTTCGAGCAAGGTCGAAATTATAACCCGTTGCAAATTCGAGCGAGATCGAACCTTCCTTTCATATGGCAGTGGCCGATTGCCGTTAGGATGTTATTTCGAGCAAGGTCGAAATTATAACCCGTTGCGAATTCGAGCGAGGTCGAACTTCTCTTTTCGTATGGCGACGGACGATGGCCGTTAGGGTGTTATTTCGAGCAAGGTCAAAATTATAACCCGTTGCGAATTCGAGAAAGGTCGAACTTCTCTTTTCGTATGGCCGTTAGGGTGTTATTTCAAGCAAGGTCGAAAGTATAACCCATTGTGTTATTTCTGTTGGAGAACATTATTCGTTGCTGAGTTATTTATGCGTGCGTTGGGGCAAGTCCTGGTTTGCTTAATCTCGCTTTCTTTTGGAGAATACTGTGCGTTTCCTGGGTGAGTCCCAGTTTGCTTAATTTCGCTTTCATTGGAGATTGTTTTTCAATAGTCGATCTGTACCGAGCCATTTCTGTTATTTGTAATATGGTGCAGCTTAGAGGGTTCGGTCGTTTCTTTCGAGGTGGCGTGGTTCGGAACTTTTTCCTGGGGTGTTTTGGTGGTGTCTGTTCCTCGTTTGCGTACCTATGAGAGTGTTCGTGTTCCTATTATGATCCAACAAGAGATTTTGATAAGTTAAACCCAAAGAAAATTGCCTTACCTCAGCCTGGAAAGTTGGTGAAAGGAGGAGCAGCGCTGTAAGGTCGCCCGTTTTGCCTCGTACCCGAATGATGGTTTCAAGTTTGGCGAGCGTGTTCGGCTTCGTCGTTACTCGTGCCTAGGCTTCTCGTGGGTTGGACTTACCTTGCCTGTTGGGGCGTTGAGACCGAGTCCCAGTCCGATATGTGTATACAATAAGGGAAACATGTTATACTTTGTTCATAAATCACCCATTGCGTGTGGGTACGAAAACAAGGCAGGATACGCCCGCTATTTCAAAGGGGTCACACAGTAGGCTATCATCTCTTCCTAAGAGGGGGTAGTACAGGCCGGTATACAAGGTGAATACGTCACATGCGGTTGTGGTCATGCCAAGCGCATAGCGACTGTGATCCTACTTTAGACATGCATATGACGTGCTAAGCCAATCGCTACGGTGTGGTGTGGGTTTTTCATAGACATCGATCGCAATTTCTACTTTATGTAGAGATCTGACCTAGATTGGCACGGTCATCTCAAAAGCTTATCTACTATTTCTTTTGAGTTGGTGTTTATACCGAGATAAGGAGTTTGTGACAACCTGGAAGTAATACTTGGCTAGTCCTAGATCTAAAGGAAACTAAAAAATTTGGCTAAGAAATCCCCATATACGGCGCCAAATTGTTTGACCAAAAAGTGTTGAGCCTTTTAGTTAAACCAATTAATGATAAAATAGAGAGTAAATCCTAGCCAAACATAATCATCTTTAGATCTAAGAATATTGGATACTAGAATCAAAAGAGACTGAGTTTATATAACACTTCTTAAAATGATTAAAAGACATCAAACGTAAATGATAAGCTTACATCTTTGATATATTGTTCCGTATTTATAAAAGCAAAGAAGGTAAGGAAGGAATCTCATTGGTAACTATGAGATCTAGCTTCGTTGACTCAACAATGGTGATTACAAAGGTTTGTAACCCGAAACTAGACTTCTTTCTTTGTTACTCAGAGGTCTCCTCCAAGTCTTCTGTTTCTTCTTCCCCTCTCAAACCCCCCTTTCTTTCTGCTTTCTTTTTCATATATATATTTTTGAACAACTAATTTTTTACCACGCTCAAATTCTATACTATTTTAGTGTAAATATTTCTTTTAGGTTTAATCTTAATATTTTAAAACTTTTATCTTATTTTTAATAGGTTTTATTTGAGAAAAGTTAAAAATTACAATATATATATATATATATATATATATATATATATATACGTATATACATATATAAAAAAAATTCCTATTTATAAAGAGAAAAAGAAAATTTACAAAAATATATGATTTCTTTTAATTAGAGTTATAACAAATAAGTTAGTTTAGCTTTAGTTATATACTATAAGCATGTATGTATACACACACACACACATATATATATATATATATATATATATATATATATATATATATATATATAATTTCTTTTAATTAGAATTATAACAAATAAGTTGTTAATTTTCTTATCTCTATATTTTATCTTTTAAAGAAAATAAAACAAAAAGAAGTAGAACAAATAAAATAAACCAAAAGATTAATTCCTATATAAAAAACACTTACCTCACATCCCAACTTCCCCACTTCACTCACGCCTCACCCCCACTCCCTCACATCTCCATTTTTCACGCACACAATATATATCCCACGTTTTCACTCCAAATTCTGGAAAAAAGATTAAATTAACCACCATTATTCTTCTTTATAAAGAAAGAGAGAAGAACACACAAAAAAAAAAAAAAAAAGGTAACACACACTAAAGAGCACAACAGCCATAGCTCTCATCCTCTTTTAGAAACATCTCCAATTTGTTGCACTATTCTCCAAGCCAAGCCCGTCACTCTTAGAACAATCAGGGATTCACCCAAAAATTCCCAAAAAAGAACGACCCCCAATTTCATGAACGGACTGACCCACCTCCAGCAACAAGCAGCCGATTCACCCCCACCTCCCTTCACCTCACCGTTGCCGGCGTCCAGCCGGAAAACCTAAGAGCCAGCGACTCCCCCCATTCTCATCTCCCCCCTCATTTTAAAGAGAACAACCGCAACAACACCAAGACAGCAGCTAAGATCTTTAAAGAAAATGTTGTCTAACCAGCCCTCTTTTCGCCCCTAAAACTCCCCGAAACAGACCCAGAACACCCCCTTTTCGCACAAAAACAACAGCTTCAAGGTTGAGTTTGAGTCCGTCGAGGTCGGCGTAGAAGTTCTCCGGTCGATGGTTCCTGATGGTTGAGTTTATTTGTTGTTCATTTTGGTCGTTGTCTCATCTGGTCTTCTGAGTTACAAGCTCTCAACTTTAGATTCATTAATAAAGGAAATCAAGACCCAATTGATTCGCTCTATTCTGTTCCAGACCTTTTTTGTGTTCTATTTTCGGGTAAGCATTTTCTTTTAAGTTGAAAAACAAATATAATTGCATTCATTCAAAAATTTTCTTTAAGATGATAACTGTATGTATAATTTTGTTGTTTTGCTCCTTCATTTTTGCTCTGTTTGTTTTCATTATTAGAAGAGTACGTCATGATTGAGTTACATTATTGAAAAGTGAGAAACGCATTACTGAAAACAGTATTTCCTGGGCATAGGTCAGTACTAGTATGATTTACAATTTAAGCAAAGGTTAGTCAGAGAATCTATTGTGCTAAGGTTTGGACGTCCATTTAATAAAACTCACGAGTTAACCCACATAAATTTTTTCATAATTTCAAATCGGCTGAGGAAATGAACAACTCACGAATAATCGTAGAAATGCTTTATGGCACGGTTTTTAAACTACTATCGCGATTGCATGCATGTTCGCGTGATGTGATTACGATTTTTTTTTCAAATAAATTCAAGGTACGCGTTCGCGCGACTTTGACCAAGCTTTTTCTTAAATAAATTAAGTGTTGTGAATTGTGTACACGTACGCGTAACATGATTCTAGACGCGCCGAACTAAACGAGTATACGTATGCATAACTCGTCTTAAGATAATTCTTTAAATACGAATAATCAAGTAATTAAATGCGGTAAAAGGTAAAAATGTACATAGGTTCTAAAATAAGTAATTACATAAGTTAATTAAGCCAGATATAATTAAAGCGACCATGCTAAAACCACGGAATCCGGGAATGCCTAACACCTTCTCCCGGGTTAACAGAATTCCTTACCCAGTCTTTTGGTTTCGCAGACTTTAAAACAGAGTCAAATTTTCTCGATTTGGGATTTAAAATAAATCGGTGACTTGGGACACCATAATAACTATTCCAAGTGGCGACTCTGAAATAAATCAATAATCCCATTTCGATTAATGTCACTTTAATTGGAAAAACAGAGGTGTGACAATATTACTCACCTTCCCCTTTATCCAACGGTCTTTAACCAGCATACCCCTTCTTGACTATCTTCCTCTTTACTTGCTCAAGCATGACCGCATATATTCTGTTGTGCAAGCCTTCTCGATGGCTCGATCTCGGCAGTGGTCGCCATTACGCCTTACGGGTACGTCCATGGCTTGGTCGACCCCTTACCGTTCTCCTTAATTGGGGGGGGGGGGTAGAATGGGGTCGCCTCTTGGCGAGCTCAATGGGTAATTCACTTGTGGTTAGATTTTGGCCCATGCAACTAGTAATTTTATTAATTTGAGAATTTTCTTTTCCCTCCATTCTCGGGCCCTCCCAATCTCTTGTATCTTTTCCTGTTTTGTCTCGTGGTTAAGCAAATGATTTTACTTAGGCTTATTTTATCTCAAATGACACCTCAACGACATCTATGTGGACAGAGAAGTCATGAAAACACTGAACACTGCCTTTCCTTTCTGAAGTGGCAGTAATCAGTTCTTCCTCGTATTTTTCGGCCGCGTCGTAAAATGAGATTAGATTAGCACCAAAAAAGAGTCAAACATAGACATTAAATTAAACAATCTGACTTTGTGTGCTCTTCCGTGGGCGGTGTTATCTTCCTTTTTGTGTGTGTGTGTGTGTGTTCCTGTGGGGCTTCTTGCAACTACTGAGAATGTTTTTAGATGTCACAAACAGAAGCTGCCAAAACCCTGCAGCTTATAAATCGGCTATGGCAATTGAAAAATCCGAGCTTTCTACTAAACTTCTGCTTACGGAACTTACACAAAGAGAATCCGAATTTTCTTGATTTGATTGAACGCTATGGATGGTGGAATCGGATCATCACATCATCAGCAGCAAAACCATGTCTTAGTCGAAGGTAAAGTCCCATTTTTATCCTTCCTTCCTTTTTGTTCCTTTTAATTTGTAAACCATCTTATTCTTGTGTTATTTGGGTCCCTTTAATTTTTTCTATTTCCTTTTTGTTGGTTTTGGTGTTGGGGTTGTTGTGTAGCTTTAGTTCAAACCTTTAATTGCATCTAAAAATTCATATAATATGTATAAATAATCCTCTGCTAGGTGACTATATGTATAGAGAGCTATGGAAAGCATGTGCAGGTCCCATGATGGATCTTCCCATAGTTGGGGAGAGAGTATACTATTTCCCTATGACTCACATGAAGACGGTCTCTTCTTAATGTCTTCCTATTATTCTTTGCTTAAATTTGAGAATTGATTCTTTTCAAGGGCTGAATTAACTTCATTTCCTCCTTTAATTTCCTGGTCGTGTTTACTTTGAATATACAGTTGAAGGAATCAGCTGATCAGATTGTACCATCATTCGACCTCCATACAGATATCCTCTGCAGGGTCATTAACATTCAGCTCAGGGTATGTTGGTCATTACCCATTCCCTTTTTTCTCAAGACTAAATCTGCCTTGTGGTATAATCATCTCTCAATTGTACAAACAGGAGTTGGTTTCCCATCTTTTGTAGTAGCTGGCTGACACATCCCCCATTAATTTAAGCGATCAAAGTTCTTGCGTAAATGTATACACTTGCTGGTTAATTCATCTCGAGTTTGAAAGAAGAGACTCTTTCATTGAACAACTTAAAAACTTATGATCTCTTGATTTATGATTTATGAAACCATGAATGACCATTAGGAATGTGGGTGCAACTGATTATGGCAACTACTTTTTCCTTTTTAGGTGGAACCTGCTACTGATGAGGTTTACGCACACATTACTTTACTCCCAGAAGAAAATGTGAGAACTTGGTTATATTACCTTTTAAGAGAATTTATACGAAGATGAAAGTTAAAGTCTCACTGTTAAGTCGCAACTACTTGCAGCAAAGTGACCAAACAGCTCCTGATGCTTAGTCTCCTCAGCCTCTTAATTCGCAGTTTCAGTCATTCTGCAAGGTTTTGACTGCTTCTGATACCAATAGTAACTGGGGACTGACTGTGTGACGAGAAGATGCCATCAAATGTTTTCCTCCCCTGGTAATGTTTATCTTCAAAGCACTTTTTGCTTTAGATTATTCAGTTTCTTTTAGTTGATTTTCTTGCACTGTGTGGTTCTTTAATTAGGACATTACCAAGCAGAAACCAATCCATGAATTGATAGCAAAAGACCTTAATGGCTCCGAATGGCGATTTTGTCATGTATTTCGAGGTAATACTTCTTCCGCACCTTACTTTAGAGCAAGGTTCACGGAGTTGAAGGCAAACTGGAACACTTAGTGTACTGTTACTGCACGAGTTTCTGTATGAGGCTCTATTTTTCTTCCTTTTTTGATTTATAACCAAACACTAGCGTTACATAAACAAGTTGACACTTTGCATTGTGATTTTCTGTACGCAACAAATTCATTTCTAATAACATCATAGGCCAACATCGAAGACATTTGCTTACGAAAGGTTGGAGTAAATTTGTTGCTAGTAAGAGATTAGTTACTGGGGATTCAGTTATCTTCTTAAGGTAATTGTTTACTGTATATTTCTCTTAATCAATTGTTATGTGTCGATTTTTCCTCTATGAATAAAGCATACCAATCCAGCCAAATCTCTCATATTAACCTTATAAATCTGTTATATCCTGCTTCAAGTTGAGAAAATGGTGAACTTTGTGTTGGGGTTAGACGTCAAGCTCATCGAAGACACAACATTGGTTCATCACCAGTTTCAAGTCAAGCAGTTCAAGGAGTGCTTTCAGTGGTCTCCCATGCTTTTGCCACGAGACGTCTCTTTTCTATCTATTATCAGCCACGGCATAACATACTTGTCAATTTGTCAAATGGAGATACCTTATTACTGAATGCCTGTTCTTAGATTTGCTTGTTTGTAATATTTCCAGGAAAAGGAGATTCATTTTAAGCTTGAACAAATATCTTGAGCCAAATAGAGAGAAACCATCAAACCAAGATTTAGCTCAGATTGCTTCCACCGGCCTATCCACTAACCAGGCCTCCATTGATGTCCTTGATTGTGATGTATTCAGTGACATCTTCTTAGCTGCACACCCTCTCTTTCTAGAGAATACACCAGAGTCAAATGGGAATTGTGTAGGAGTTGCTTCTACTGTCCAAAGTATGCAAAATGCCTTTGTAATCTACTCCATTATTATTATTTTTTAAATAATCCAAGGTGTGTTGATATACTACTCCTCTTGTCTTAGATTTTGAGGGATGGCCAGAGCCCCAGAGTGAGAGTTTCACTACCTATCCACAGCAGCATATACCAGAACATTCTGCGACGACTTCAACCTTGCAGCCAACTGACACCTTACAAGTGATGTGTACTTATTCTACCCCGAGGCATCTTCCAACTGAGCATGTCTCTTGGGCAGTTTACCAAGTGGCCCAACAATATGTTCCTATACTCAGTAGAGTCTATGCGTTACTCCAGTACTATCTCTGGCTTCAAAGCAATAACTGGTGCACTGCAGTCAGTGTACTTGGAGATGTTGGCCAGGTTAGTAGATTTGCTTGAGAAATCTAGAATAGGAAGCATGGACAATAGGAACCAGTTCCATGTCATTAAGCAATATCTTGTGGACTTGAAGTTTATTGGTATCGATGTTAGCTGGATTGAAACCCGTTTAGCACAAATTGATGAAGTCTTGAAAATGGAGAAGTTAATTCAGCACCAACATACGCTTGCCCACAAAATTGATGAAACACAATTCACACTTGGGCAACTAAACCAGGAGCTTTGTTCAGTGAGGAAGGAACTCGAGGAGTTGATGCCCAAAGTTGGGCCGAGCCCTCCTTCAAAAGATTGTTCTATTCTTGAGGGTCTACTCTAGGTTTAATTGTCCTTTTTTTCTTTTACAGTTATGGCATAGAAAGTCTGAATATAATGTGGCTAACATTGATATGAGGAGGTTGTTCCAGAGCACCAGCTGAGCTTAATTGCTCACACAGTAGAAATGTACTATAACTTCATTTTCTAATGATTGGAGGTTGCATCCCTAAATAAGGAGATGATATACTTGGGAGGTCTTCGGAATTTCAACAATCAGTGTATTAATGAAAATATTGTTTTAGTATAAGCTTTTTGTCACGACCTCAAACCGGACCCGGTCGTGATGGCGCCTCTCGTGAAACAAGGCCAGCCGACACAAACCCCCAAACCAATCAACAATTATAATAATTCATAATTAAGTCATTAATAAGTGATAAGTCCAAAAATAGAGTGAGATAGAACAAGTGCGAAAACAACCACAGCCCGGCATCGGGGTGTCACCAGTCATGAGCATCTAAAATTGGAAGCAAATCAGCCCTCGCTAGTGGATTGATTTAGCATGTTTGAGATAAGTATCTTGTCTAACTTTGGGGGGGGGGGGGGAACTACCTCTTAGGAATGGAGTTGATTGTACTATTTGAACTATGCGGAAGATGTGTACATGAGGTGATGAGTGTGTACATAGTCTTATATGTGAAAATTGATCGGTTTAGACTCGTAGGTTACCTATAAGTGTTTCATTGAAGTTGTTATTAATTGTTGTATCTTTCCTTGTCAATTTTAATCTTACATGCTTTAATTGAAGTTGTTATTACATGATCTAGTTTTTATTATCGAGGTCACCTTTATATGCATTTATTAGTAGTTGTTATTACATGCTATTCTTTCCATTGTTGAGTTATTCTCATGTATTTAGTCATAGTTGCTATTTCATGCTATCTCTTTCGTTGTTAAGCTTATGGTATGCATTATAATTTGAAGTTGTCATTTCACGGAAATACATTCATTGTTGAGTTATTGAAGCTGTAGTTGTTGAGAACTATTACCACGTTTGTGGTAGAAATTATTGGTTATTAGAATACCTTTCCTTGTTGAGTTATTTCTCGTTCATTTGTTGTTATTGAGAATCTTGTACACATTGTGGTTGAGCCGTATGCTATGTGTTGTGGTGACATTGGTAAGTATTGATTTTGGCAATATTGTGACATAGCGGGGTACAAATAAAATAACTGGTAAAGAAGATGGACAAGTTGAAAGAAGATGGACAAGCATAAAAGCAAAACATTTTGTGTGTACTATGAATGCACAGGTCCCTCTTTTCATTTTGGCTGTTTAAACATGTGATTTGTGGATTGGCGGCTGATTTATTATTATGGTATATGTGAGGCCCATCTAATATGTTCTGGTTGTAGGAAGTCTATATTCTTAGACCTTAATCCAGTATATTTTGTATTCTTGGCGAGGTCGCTTCCGTAGAGAAAAGTGTATTTTAACTGAAGAGTTATTGGCTTATTTACACGTTTACATGGATGCAGTGGAAACTACTTTGAAAGGAAAAATCTGCCAAAAGAGTTTCCTATTTCCAAAAACCAATATCAAGTATGCTATGATTATATATATATATATATATATATATATATATATATATTTGAATGTATTTATACAGTGTTATAGTCTTTTTTCTCATACTCCATATTTTCCATTGCTAACAGGATTACTCTTTAAGGGGATATAACATGCTTTAAAATCAGGTTGCCTAAGACTTAATTGTGGACCTTACGCTACAAAAATAAAAAATCTCAAGAGCGACTTCTGTAGGAATGAGATGTTATGTCATAACTCTGCTCGCATTCCTCCTTGTGAGGTAAGACACTATTCTTTAACTTTTTTTAATCTGCTTCTGGCAAGACAGATTGCCTCAATAAAAGAGTATGGTGGGTTTTCATCGTTTCCAGTTGCATGCATTTTATAAGTGTGACATAATTGTTTGCATTGTAATTTTTCCAATCCGAAAGAAAATATAAAGTAGCTCTTTGGTGAATTGATGTAGTTTGTTTGAAACTTAGCCGACAAAAAAGGATAAACAGATAAAAGAATTTTAAGCTACTATCTTATATCTTTCTAAGTTAAGTCATTTTTGGTATAACGATTTGAGCAGTTATTTTGAGGCATCTCTGCTGTACGATTTTATGTTTCTCTAACAGTTTTTGTTTGATCTGATGTTATTTAGGCGACTTTTTCCCTTTCTCAACTTTGATTTATTAAAACTACTTCCTTGCGGAAAAGGTGTTCCTCTATGCCTTGCGGTAATGATTCCTCTGGCATTACGACCTTTACCACAATGATGGTATGCATTTCAATTTCAAAAACAAAGAGAGCATGCATTTCAATTATAAAAACAAAAGAGAAATAATTCATGCCAGAATGGCTGTCTGGTCATCTTACTTTATCAAATTATACATTACGCGCGAACACATAGAAGATATTAAAATTATAGTTTTGTGTTAGTGTCTGTGGATATTGCTGTAGTTGATGTGCTACTTTTATATGTGTATCGCTAAGAAGAGATATTGATGTCCAACTTGTGGGTGCTAGACGCATACTACTTCATTTACATCCAAAACTATAAGTTAGTTTTCTCTTGATAATTTGGAATCATATAAATAAACGTAACATTTTAGGAAGTTGGCTAGAGATATGACTCTAAATGAAAAATGAAAAGACCTACTAAAGTTAAGGTTGAGCCTGTTTGATATTTAAGATAACTAAAATGTGCTTTTAGAACTGTTAGGTAAAACTGCAACTTCTTGCTCTTTGTTGCTCTTTACTCATCGCTTTGAAAGACTCTAACTCCGATGTTTATTTCATTCATTGTCATTTACTATTATGCTTCTTGAAGTTTGTTGGCTTAAGTTCTCTCTTCAACAAATGAGTTTTCTTTGTTGAACAAGCAAAATAAGGGTACTTACATTTGACATTGCTTAATAATTCTTTAGGTTTTCGGCAGACTGGAAAAAGGAAGACTAATTACAGCAGAAGATGTGTCACCTTTTGTTCAATAGTATCACTACATATATGTAAAGATCATGTAGCAAGGAACTGCATAACATTCATCGAGTGGATATTTGCTTCCAAATGCATGTAAATGATACCCAACAATTAGTTTGTGACGTTGTCTATATCTAACAATCATTGCGTATCTATCGTTCCGACTCTTGCAATGTTGGGCCCGTGCTAAGCGCGGGCCATTGCCACCTAATTTTAAGTTATACATTCTAGTTTTGAGTGTTAATAAAAGAAAAACTTTCAGAAACCACTATGTTTTAGTGGTTATTAGCTAGTTGTAGTTACTATTTACTATATTACTTCCTATAACTATGTTTTCGGATTTTTTAGAGTGTATTCGATGTATTTAAGATACTGTATTCATGAATACAGTAGCATTTCTAGGCGTGAAACAGGGGATTGCAGCTAGACAAATTTTTGTATTCGAGTGTATTCGACTGTATTCATGGCGTGAAACATGGGATTACAGCTGGACAGATTATTGTATTCGATTGTATTCACGACGTGAAACAGGGGATTACACTGTTTTTAAACGGAAAGTGAATCAATTAACATAATAGACTCCTAATATAACTCAACAAACTTAATTATAACACACAAATTTTGTATTTCCAAATATAAAAAAGATTCTCAACCGAAAAACACCCCAAAAACATAGCAATCTGGAGAAATTATATAATACATCTGAATACATAAATTATATTAATTAAAAAAAACATATGAATGCATTTATGGAATATAGCGAGACGGTGAATGCAATCAAATACATAGAATACAGCGGGATACATTGAAATACAATGAATACAATGAAATACATAGAATACAGCGAGATACATTGAAATACAATGAATAAAAAGATAATGAATACAATGAAATACAGCGAGATGCATTGAGATACATTGAAATATATTAACAGAAAATTCAAGTTGCTCTGCGCCCAATGTCGTCTTTGTTCAAGAACAACCCTAATGTCGTCTCGTTGAAGCAGCATCAGTATCCAGTCCTCGCTCGCCGTCACCGTTGCCTCCGGTTGCCGACGATTAGCACGTAATTACCGGCGAAATAACGGAGACTTCTCCAAAACCTTTGCATTCTTTAACAGAAATTCTGAAAGTTTGAAAAGCTTGCCAAATCAGCATTCTAAATGATCCTTCAAGTATGTTAAAGAGATGACAATCTTAACATTCTTGAGGTTGGGAAACTCAAAGCTTGAAGTCCAGCTCTGCAAATCAATAGATTCTCCTTTGGCCAAATATCTTAACCCAAAGTTGCAACGGGCAATATTAAATTGGAGGCAGAGAATATAATCAAGACAAAATTTGATATGGGGCAGGGGATAACAGAAATTTGAGGGGATATGAGAGAGAAAAATAACACAAAGCTTATTTTATGGCTTAAGGGTAGGAGGTGATCAACCATAAATAAATATTTGGCTATAAAAAATTAAAAAATAACTATAAAATATAATTTTTAAAAAAAATATTTATTTAAAATAAATAAGGTATAAACCTCACATGGCACAGGAGGTAACTAATCCTTAATAAAAAAAAGAAGAAGAAATTAACGACGAAAAATGAGTTGTTCGTAGTAGCACACTGGCACCACAATTTGCAAAGGGTGATTGGTAGGTAACAACTACTACGTAGACCCCACATCACCCAACACCACCATTGCACTCTCACCTACCCAAACAGCCAAACTCTCCAAATATATTGCCTAGCAGCCATCCCCCATATATATATGGAAGGCTACAAATTTCTATATATAATCTAAACCTAACAAATTTCACCCACCAAATTTTGAAAAGAAAGCAAACCGACGTAGGTCAATACGACGTCGACGGAGAATGACGTCTTTTGTACCTACCAAACAATTTCTCGGTGCTCCGTCTTCCTCCGATGTCGGATCCTCCCGCCTTGGATCTCTTCAGCTACCTTCTAAGCTCTCATCTTCCAATCTTCATATCCTATCTCGTCCGTCACACCCCAAACGGCTAGGTATAACAATTTATAATTCCTTTTCAAATTGTACAAAAATTTAGGATTCCTTTTAATTATAGATTTATTATTCTTTATTGAGCTTAATACATTTGTTTAATTTGATTGATTAAGCTCTCTGTTGCTATTTATCATCGAGAGCAATACACTTGATTTATGTGTATACTATTAGTTATGTTGCAGTTCTGGTTGGGTTTATTTAACGATTTTACCGTCTAAATTGACTTTTATAATCTTCGTTATGACGCCGAAAATGTTTATTTGATTAAGTTTATTGTTCTTATTGATCAAGCAAATGAAGAAAATAATATTATTCATGAAAAAAGAAAATCACTTGTACGTATAGCTATTTATTTATCTTACCTCAATGCTGACACAAAATAAAAGTCTAAGGAGAAGGATTTTGATTCTAATAACTGTCTGCCCTTAGATATGGTTGACCCTGCTTTTTGGTCTTTTAACCTTTAGTTGGATTCAGCAGAAGCGAATTCCTGACTCAGGCTAGTATCATAGTGCTTTAATAGACATACATATATCTAGGCCTTTATTTGCCAATTGACTAGGTGAAGTGGTAAGGTCGTCTGTGTGCCAACTTAAAAACTCTAGTTCATGCTATCTCAAGTAGAGTATTTCATATATGTATGGGCACTTCTACTCTCACCATCTTGTTGAAAGATTTGTCACGTTCCTGGTCTGACTAGCAGTTGTGCTGTGCCTTATTTGGCACCATTTCTCCTTGTCTCATTTATTCAATTTAGTCGTGCAAAGAGAAGGTAAAGTGAAAAATGATAGGATTCATGAGAAAAGTTCTCTCTGTTTATATTGCACATGAAATTGGAATCTTTATCATTTTGCTTCGTCAATTTTTGCTAAGAACTCAGAAGTTAAGTTTCATTCAAATTAGTTAATAATTAATCACTGTGACTGACTGTTTTTGTGTAATTGTTAAGTAGAAAAGCGGTAGGAACTAGAATAAATAGTGCAGCAATAAGTGCAAGAATATGTACTTCCATAATCTCATTGGCTTTTTACTTCGCAATAGCTCGGGATTTAATCCCATAGTGTCCTAGAATTGCACTTGAATGACCATCAAGAGGCCTATAAGTATGTCTACTATCTGACTAAGGCATTATTTGCTAATATTTGTCTATGTTATCTAGAGAATATTATATTCTTGTTGCTGCAAGTTGATAAGGTGCATCTCGAAACACTGGTAGAACCAACATTCTTCGGTAGTGTTGTCCTTTGTCATGTGGAAATACAAACTAAAAAACCCTTTGCCGTCCTTCACTGGCTTGCTGTTAAATGGTAAAAGTTGGTTAGAAACTTATTCTCTCTGCTTGTGTACCCACAGAAATACAGGCTGCTGGTAGTACATACGGAAATTACTTCCGTGTTACAACTTTCGGAGAATCACATGGTGGTGGAGTTGGTTGTGTTATTGATGGATGCCCCCCTCGTCTCCCACTTTCTGAATCTGATATGCAGGTGGAACTTGACAGGAGGTATTTCCTTCCTTATCTCCAGCTAAATTTCTGTGAGGATTAATGTGACCAGCATCAGCACGATAGCTATATTAAATATAAACTTAGACACTTTTGGTACCCTAATCTAGAAAAAGGCTAATTCAACAAGTAGTCTATGGGATAACGAAGATTTCTTTATTTTATGGTTTTTTTTTTAGATTGCTTACAAAACTTTGTTATCCAGGAGGCCAGGTCAAAGCCGAATTACCACACCTAGGAAAGAGACTGACACTTGCAAAATATCATCAGGCATTGCCGATGGTTGGTTTTCTGTTCAAGTTTCTTGTAACCTATGTCTTCTACCACTTGCCTCTCGTGGAATAAGCCGGTGTTTATAATTCTTTTGAACTCAGTCTTGTGCATGCATTAACTGCAGGGATGACTACTGGATCCCCAATCAAGGTTGAAGTACCTAACACTGATCAGAGAGGAAATGTGAGTATGGTCTTTACCTTCTTGACACTTTCTCTGTATCAAATACAACAGGAAAGTGAAATAGGAAATTTAGTTTTTAAATGATAGTAGATTATAGCTGAATATATTAAGGGATGAGTTATTCCAACTCTTTATGGTGAACACAAGTATCTATGTTAAGCTTATGCTTATCTTGCGTGGCAGTTCATATAGCTGAATATGTTAAGGGATGAGTTATTCCTGCTCTTGACTAGACTAATTCATTTTTAACGGGCACAGTGCAGAGACATCGTGGTGATAAGTCAAGTGCCTGTTGCCTGCTGCCTGCATTCAGTGGTGGAGTTTGTGTATAAATGAGAGTTTAAAGGATATGAAAATGCCATCTGGGGCTTATTAAAAAAATTATAAATATTTTCAAGTTAAAACCTGAAGTATATATATTACCCACAATATCCTGATAAATCCAAGAATACTTGAAGGAGAAAAAAGGCAAATTTTCAGAGCTCTGAGATAGGACATTTAGTATGTCCATTGTGGTGGTGCTTCTCTAAATTGCTGCCAAATTTTCTGTTCTCCTGTACTTATTGGATACGTTATGCTCTGTTGAATTACCAGGACTACAGTGAAATGTCCCAGGCTTATAGGCCATCTCATGCAGATGCTACTTATGACTTCAAGTATGGAGTAAGATCCGTACAGGTAATTACCAGATAAATCTAATTATAAAATATCTTTAGAGATCCTAATATGTTTAGTTTTCTTAGTCCTAGCTCTTATTTTTATTAAATTCTTACTACTGGCAACTTCCTTTAGGGGGGTGGTAGATCATCAGCAAGAGAAACCATTGGGAGAGTTGCTGCTGGAGCCGTTGCTAAGAAAATTCTCAAACTTTATTCTGGAACTGAGGTATGTTACTCTGTTGGTTTAAGATCCTATATAAAAAACCGGTATATACTATTGTATCGGAGCAATGTGCAAAAACTCTCTCTAGCGCTCATTTGGAGTATATACTGGCTATATTATAAGACTTTCAATTACCCCCCCCCCACCCCCCCCCCACCCCCCCCCCACCCACACACACACACGCACCCCTTTTCTTCTGAACAAAAGATCCAGACCTTTAGTTTCAGCTAACTTTTGGGATTAATAACCCATTAATATCTGGCAATGTCTCCTTTCTTTACTGGGAAGAACATATTGAGCTCTTATATTCCATACTGCAGGTTCTTGCTTATGTTTCTCAAGTTCACCAAGTTGTACTTCCTGAGGATTGGATTGATCATCATACTGTGACTCTAGAGCAGGTATAC